GTTTTTTTCTTTTTCTCCTGATTCAGTTACTGAAATCATGAATCCTGTGTATAGCCCTGGATCTTCTGGGGTTCCCTATGCAAATGCCAAAGGAATTGGTTATCCAGGTAAGTAACTGTTTTCTGATGAGTTTCAGTGATACTGCTCTTGGTTTATAATCAAGAAGAAATAGTCACTTAGGAATGCCTTCATGTAAATCTGTTTTGGGATTAGGGTGGGGTTTTTTTTTAAATTTAAAAAGTGACACTTCAAGAGTGATGTTAGTTCTTTTATATTTCTAACTTCAGTGTCTCTTCCAAAGCAGCTTATTTTAGGAGCTCTAATAATTACGCCCTGCAAGAAGAGGAGTCAGGTCTATTTCTGCTGCTAGTTGACTGGCACTGTTAACCTTTGTATACTCTAATTCTTGCTCATGCTATCTGTTTAATGACTGCCCAAAGCATAGCATCAAAGGTGGGACCAAGAAAATGGCAAAAAATGTTTTTGAAACAAAAATTACATGTATTTCTTGCTTTATCTGTTTCTCATTGACTTCGGGTTTCTCCCCAGGTTTTTTCCTCCTCCTCTGCTGATGTGTGTGCAGGCAGCCTTGGTTTCTGATGTACCCATGGTCTGAAAGCTGGATAAGGCAAAATTAGATTTGGACAGACCTTTTCAGGCAGGCCAAAGAGAAGCCTGTGTGCCTCTGTGAGGCATTCTCAGCAGTATGTCTTGCTGCAGTCTTTCTTCTGGTATCTGTGAGATAGGGGAGTTTCCATCCTGGGAGAGGCTGGAGGGTCTTTCTGCTCAGATTTTATATTCCAGAAGAAGTTAAGCTTTTTTAGTTTTTGCAGGGAGGCTGTTTTGTGATTTATTTGGTGTCTGTATTGGGAAGTGGAAATAATTATGTTTATATTCTGTTTATATTCACACTATTTATATTCTTGGTAGCTACACTATATTTTCCTACATAAATTTACTGTTCTTAAATTTATTTTTCAGCTTAGGTAGTGCAGTAGAGTTTCTGTTTTCCTGTTCTGCTTTTCTCCATTACTCCTTCCAAATACTGGTGCATAAATGAGTTCTTTTTATTGTTGATTGTGTCAAAAACATTTTGATTGTTTTGTTTTGCTTTTCACTTTCCTCAGACTCGTGTGCCTCTCTTGGTTTGTACAGTGTTTATAAGGGGAAAACAGATGTTTTAAGTCTGTTGAGTGACTGGAGTGGTGCAGGAATAAATTGTGAAGCTGATGCTATGTGACCATAAGTCCTGCAGGATGGTTTTGCTCTGTGTAGCTGTCTGAGGTATATGGACTGCAGTAATTTTATAATAATGCCAGCAGCAGAGGTTTACTAATTAATATCATTTACAGGATGGTTATATCTGTATTTGTAGTGGATTGCTTTCTCAAGCCTTTCTTTTGCTTTAGATAAAGGTTATTATGCATTATTGTTATCTGTATTCATTTTCTAAATACAGATTTGTATTAACCAGGGTTTCATTTGCACTTATAATCATTTACACATGGCATTGAAGCTCTGGTTTATACTGAAGGAAGTCATACTTTAATTTATTCAGGAAGATACACTGTTGTGGATTCGTAAGTAGCAGTTTAAACAACATTAGAGCTTCTGATCATTGATTCTACTGTTACATGTACTAGGCTACGTATTGAATTGTGTAAGTACTTTATATTTGCTGTCTGTCTAACTCAAATACATGGAATTAAAGTAGAATTGTTAGAGAGGTGCCTTAAACGTCATGCTATAAGTTGGTCACTCAAAATTCTTCCTTAACAGCAGTCAGTTTGTCAGTTCACGCAACTGTGACCCTTAAATTCAGCTCAGTCAATAATGCCTGCAGTGTTGCACCATTGAGGGTTTGCTAAGCTGCCTGCCTCAGGCTTTAAGATTGTGGGATAAACACAAAGCACATTCTCTACTTTTAAGTTTAGACTTGCATTTTCGGATTTTTAGAAGTGTGTTGCATGACTAAGTGCCCCATTTTTGCCTCCCTGATTCCAAAGCTGCAGATTGTCCCCTCGGAGTCCTTGCATTTACACAGGCTGCATGGTAATAGAAAGTGAGGAACACAGCAGTAGGTGGAATGCATTACTGAAAGGCAATGTGTTCTAAAGCTGTTGCATAGTTAATAACTATTTATATTATACTACACCTATTTTAGGTTGTTGGATAGCTTCGCAGTAGCAAGAAATCAGTATTAAAATGTTCTTACATGGGGGGATGCTCTGTGTAGAGGTTAAAAGTGCTGCTTGTTGTAGCTAGATGTTTCACAAATGACCTGTTTCCAGAGCAGCTCAGTGCTCTACGGTGGAGCTAAAGCTGGGAAGAAAGAAAGGACTGAAGATGTGTACAACACAGTGTTGCAGATATGTAATTGGTTTGAGTAAGGTGTAAAGCTGCACTAAGGCTTTTCACTAGCAGCTTGTGAGTTTGAAAACTGAAGAGCTATTTACACTGAAAAGTTGTTAGGACTTGGATGTGTTATTTTTAACTTTGATTTTTAAGCCAAGTGCTTTTCTTAGTCTTACCATGCTGACCACCTAATAGTGGTGCCAAGTGTATGTCACTTGATATGTTTACAGAGTGCTTTACAAAACTGGGTTAGCATATATAGTCCTGAGCTAAGGAATTCTTATCATTGAGAGTAATTGCTGAGGTCTCTGGGATTTACAGTTAATGGAAGTCCTTCAAGTTTGAACAGCAGCTTAAAACTATCAGCTTTAAGTCTGACAGTGGATATGCAAATAGTAATTACCTTTTATCTGGAGAAGGTGAAATCTTTATCTGTTGATGTGGTGGTAGTAACTCCATCTTTCTAAATATCACATTACTGGGTTTGACAGTTTGAAGTATTGTAAATAAATTCCTGGGAAAATTAATAGCTGTGGTCCAGAAATTTCACATCCAAACAAGCTTTGTATCTCTCAAGTAATTAGCCTGTGCTAATGCTGTGTTTTGCCTTACACTGGAGACCAGAATATCACAGTGTTAGTTCAGCCCCAGTGGTTCTTGTACTCTGGGGTACAAGTGTTTAACTATCATTTTTGCAATACCTCTGTGATTGCTCTTTACTGTAAACTGTCACTGTGTGTGTCTGAAATGGGGGAGCTTGTAAGTACCTTCAGATAAATACTGTCTCTATATAAGGTCTTAAAACTTGTGGAGGAGTGTAGGACAGTTGCACAAAACTTGGTTTTCCAACGAACTGAAGAGTTATTTGGCCAGCTGAGCTTCGCCGAGACAGGGATGTGCTGGAGAACAGACTTGTGACCCCTTAGCTGTTTGCTTCACTTAGCGTTCAGCTTCAGGTGGCTTGGGAGAAGAGTGAAGGCTGTTTGCTTACTTCAGATTAAATGTGCAGCAAGAATCTTTGGAGAGTGAAGTCTGTAACCCATGCAGTCTGTGCAGTAACTGTGCCATGTTCTTCCTTGCAGCTGGCTTCCCAATGGGCTATGCAGCGGCTGCTCCGGCCTATTCCCCCAACATGTATCCTGGAGCAAACCCTACCTTTCAAACAGGTATGTCTAACAGGTATGCCAGGGCACTAACCTGACATTTGACAGTGGGTAGAAGCAAGAATGAGGCATAGGGACTTACACTAACCCTTGTATTGTGGGGTAAGTTTATGTTAGCTTGAATATGACTCATAAGGAATCATCTGATAAATTAAAATTGGTATAATCTTGTCTTAAGTCACACAGCTTGCACCTTCTGCGAAGGGAACAGCTGGGGGTTTAGCTGTTTCTGTGTTTCACGATGATACTTGAGGCTTGCATTGCATTACCCTCCACTGCCTCCCTCTGCTTTCTTTGCAGCCTACCAGCCATTTCCAGATTCCTGGTTTTTCTGCTGCCTGCTGTTCTTCTTCTTCTTCTTCTTCGTCCTTAAGTCATCCATCATCTTTCCTTAAATCATATCTATCCAGGTTTAGCGTGCTGGCTTCTTTCTGCCCTTAAAATTGTCTTGCACACACTGAAGGTCTCCAAGGCCTGGTTGCTGGGTCTTCTGACCATAGTGGATACCAGGGGAGGATTTAGGTAACTGCACTTGCATGTGTGTCATTTAAGAGAAAGGGAATGTGATGAGCCTAGGAAAAGGGAGATGAAAAACAGGCACAAGAGGAACAAAGCGCTCACCAGAGTTATTTTTGTGTAGTTCTGCTTTCACTAATAGAACATGATTTTGATGTGCTAATCCTCGAAACAAAACAGAAACTGGTAGCATTTAATTTCCACTTAAACCAGAAACATGCATCTGATCCAACAGTATTCTCCCCATGGTGATTCTCCATACAAAGGAGTTCCTTACATTGCTTTGTTAATGTAGATCTGGGCCATCCTCAGGAACTCTCTCACTTCCATGTATTGTGCCAGTTTTTCAGAGAGGCACGTGGCAAATGCATAAGGGCATTCAGGGACAAATTTGGTTACCTTCAAGGGATAGGAGAGGATACTGCTGGAAATGGGGAAGCTTATGTTGTGGAAGCCTGCTTGGTATTGAAGTTCAGTGTTTGTAACCTGTGGATTTCAGTAACTACCAGGAGACTCTTAAGGATGTGGCAGCAATTACTGAGGCAAGAGAGGATAAGTCATCTAAAGTGTTTGCCTGCAAAACCTGTTAAAAGTATGTAGCTGTGTAGCTTTCCTTGGAACTCTGGAGTGTTCCCACTGGTACAGCCTTTGTCCCTGTTTGCTTTGCTGCTTACAGGCAGAATGAGTGCAGACTCACTCTTTGTCTTGTCTTTAATCTGTTTCCTTCCCTTAAATTCAAAACCAATGTTATAGGTTCCAGTAATCTAAAAATAAACCTGTCCCTTGGCTAGAGCGTGGCCACTGGAAATTTCACATCTGGGTGTGCCAGCCTGCGTTTGCACCACGTTACTTCAGAGCTTTTCTGAGAGCAGTTCCCATCGGGGTGGTAACTCAGCTTAGGCACCAGAACCCTCTGTGGGGTTTTGTTAGTGCCTTCCATTAGTAGCAGGCTGTTCAGGTTCATAGTTGGGTAACCTCAGTGGTGTCTCTGCCTCCTGTGCTCCATGTCCTGCAGCTGTGCTGGGGAGTAGCTGTAGGGTTTGATCCTAGGATCAGATACCTGAAAGGTAGTTCCAGTCTTAATACAGCTCACAGTTTGCAGATTCTGCTGCAGGAAGGTGAAGATAAACTGCATCTAACCAATTTACCAAATCATGAAGCTGATGTTTTTCTCCAGTTGTCTGGGTTTTTTTCTATGTGTCATTTATGTTCTAGTAGAAGTTGATGGCTTCTGGGAAAGATTCTCAACTTGTTAGACTTAATCATGTTGCAATATTAGTTTGCATAGATTAAGCTTGGAATATATCTCATACAATATAGCACAGTCAGAGAAAGAACTTTTTCACTTTCATGTGAAAAAGCAATAAAGATTGTGGAAGTCATATACTGTCTCGGAACGGCCTTAATTTATTGAAGCTGGTACTATTAGAGGCTTTATTACTGTTGGATAGAAAATAAGCTTTTATTTCTGAACTACAAATAGCTTTAGTTTTTAGCCACTCTTTAAGCTGTGAACTGAAGTTCCAAATGTACAGACCCTATAATTCAGGCAGATAACAACTTGAAGTACTTTATCCTAACAGCTGAGATTTTTTTAATATATTTTTATCCTTTCTGATGTAACTGCTTGTTTGTAGAATCACAGCTTTTCGTAAATTCATGTTGTGCAGCACTGTTTGAATGTGCTGTGCCACTGCTGTTCAGAAAGGGTACTTTTTTTGCAGGTAAGTTTCTGAAATTTCTGTGGTTTTGAATAATCGTGGTTCACTGTGAAGGTCTTTGCTCTGTGTAAGGGAGCAAAAAAGAAACGGAAAGGCAGAATAGCTCTTGTGCAGATTGACCTCTTTGCAAGTGGTGAATTTGCAGGAATGAAAGAAGTGGCCTGGGCAGCTGTATCAGTGGGTTTGCAGCACGAGAATGGGCTGCACTGCGGGCATAGCTGCAGGTCAGTAGCGATGCCTCATGTTCAGCATTTTGTAGCTGGGGTTTTCACCACAAATACCTTCCCAGACTAATAGAAGTTACTTCCTCAGCATGCTTGATTTGTGAAGTACTTGGTGTCTCTTAAAAACAAGAGTTCAGAGTAAGTGCTCTAGTGTAGCTTTCCTTCTTCATTACCAAAGCAACTTTCAGTTTGAAGGGTGGAATGAAATTGCAAAGAAGCTCAGATTTCTGCAAAAAGAATGAAGGTCACCTGTCATCATAATGTCTGCACAGACTGAGTTTTGACAACACAAATGCCAGTGTGCTCTCTGCTGTATGGCTTCAGAACTGTTCTCTGTATTGAAGTCAGCACATTCTAGACAGTTTTTAAAGTCAGCCTAATCTCTACTCTGTTTAATTTTTTTTCTATAATTACCAAGTGTCTGTTATTCCTTGCACTGCCCTGGTACTAGTTTGTACAAGTCTAGCTAAATAGAAATTCTTCCTGTGGATGTTGTGTCTCCTGGTGTGGTGGGAGTGCATGAGACCCAAGATCTTTTCAGCATAGCACAGAATAAGGCCTTGATGCTTTGTCCAGCATACGTCATGCCTGCTATGTGCTACCCTAAATATTATTTCTCTTGGATGCTGCTGCTGCCAAGGTATTCCTATTCTGCTCTGGCCATTGAGCCATGGAATAATCTTGGGAACATAACATGCAGCAGCAGTGGTGCTTTGCATAGATCTCCTGTGCCTTTTCAAGCCTTTGTTCTGGTACCCTGAGACCTTATCTGTTGGGAGAGCTGTTGTTAGATAGGATCTGAGCCAGCAGTTGCTACTTACCCCTGTAAAAATTCAGTAGTTCCCAACGTTTGCAAGGCAGACTGATTTTTGGGGGCCTTTTAATAGGAATGTGAAATGCTTCCTAATGGTATCTGAAGTCCTACTGTAAAGTATAAAAATAATTCTAAAGGGATGATTAAGTATATGTCTGTGTATATAATGCTCAAAAAGATGATTTAAAGATAGGAAAAGTGCCTTCCAAGTCCAATTATCAGTTGCAATGAGTTCTGCAGACAGGTATGTCCTTTCATATTTATTTTAGCTAGTTCAGAAAATGCCAGAAAACAAATACAAATAAACGTAAGTTGAAGTATAGGTTGCAGTTTGTGTCTCTGTTCTCTGAAAATCCATCTTGAACTCTTTAGATGATTCTGGCTTTTGTCATTCTTACTCTTGTGCTGTATCAGCTCCTCTACAGAAGGTGGCTGCAGGTTACTTAGCTGTGGCTGTTTTACCAGAAGCATTTGGGGATGTCGAGAATTGGCTGATGCTAATATGTGCCAGGTCCTCCTGTATAGGGAGGGACTGCCTGATGTGCCAAATCCAAGTATTTCATGGTGTTATTACAAAACTCCACTTTTTGTCCCATATCCATACTTTTGAAAAGGAAATTGTGCAAATACACAGTTAACTTTTAGTTGACACAGTCAAGTACTGTTTCCAGACTGTTACCAGTACTATGTAAATGACAGAACTTGTGCTTGCCCATTGAGAAGAGCTTACTTGGTACTTACATGAAGGTTATGGAGTTTGGAAATGAGAAAACTGTTGCCCCTGACTTCAGAAAGTGGTGCCCTGACCTGTGTTTGCGTCTGTTAAATGCAGATCTCTCTTTGCTTCAGGTTATACCCCAGGCACCCCATACAAAGTGTCCTGTTCACCCACCAGTGGGGCAGTGCCACCGTACTCCTCATCCCCCAATCCCTACCAGACCGCTGTGTACCCAGTTCGAAGTGCCTACCCACAGCAGAACCCATATGCACAGGTAAGTGAACAGAGCCAGAACAGTGTCTCTTGGCATTGTACTTTGTTTACCCGATAATGTCTGTGCGAATTTCATCACATTTCTTCCTTTGTGTGAGAGAATTTGTAGCCGTCTGCTGTAAGAATTGTTAATCATGTTTTACAAAGTGTGCATGCAGTGTTACGTTCCCTCTTGCAGAACAGTTACTCTGTCATTACTGAGAACGTTTTCAGTCTTCCGAGTGTGTACGGAATGCTGCAGCTACTCATACCCTGATTTTATTTCAACAAGAATTGTTGTAAACTTGCATTAATTTATTTTTTTAGGAAGCTTCTGTTGTAATTCAGGGAGTTACCAAATCTCGTGCTAGGCAAGCTGTTGAAAACCAATAGAAAGGATAGAATTAAGACACTTGAGTAAACATGATATATTTGGGGAGAAGTTGGCGTGGTGGTGCCTGGCAGGTGTGCAGTAGCTGAAGGGAATTAATAAGGACATAACAAGTTTTATCTGGTCTGTTTAGTGTATTTGGATTTGTCAAAAACTTTTGGTTCTTTAACTAAAAGCAGCTGAATAAAGTTGTGAAAGAATGAGAAGTTCTGTCATGGATCTGTATATGAAAAGAGACAAAATGAGAGACTACCTGAAAGGGGTCGGAGAGAGGTGGGGGATGGTCTCTTCTGCCATGCCTGCAGTGCAGCACTAGAGGGAATGGTCATAAGCTGAGACAGGGGAGAGGCAGTAAGTAGATACTAGGAAAAAATTGTCACTGTTAGGGTGCTCAGGCACTGGACGAGGTTGCCCAGGGAGGAGGAGTCACCATCCCTGGAAGTGCTTACAAGGCATCTGGACCTGGTGCCATGTGATACGTTTTAGGGGTTATAGTGGAGTCACAGGTTAAAGGTTGGACTTGATCTTCAAGGTCTCTTCCAACCTTGATTCCATGAAGGGAACGAATGGTGAATGAGCCCTTACTGTTGAAGGTATAGTCAGCATTGGAGTTCTGCAGGGGTCCCTACTTTGAATGTTGTTTTAAATGCCTTAAAAGGATAAAGTGATAAAACGTTTGTAATGAAGCACAGTTGGAATAGTTAAAATGAATGTTTTGCTTCTGCTCTGTAAATGCATCTTTAGGGTAATACTTTTGATACGTCCATGACAAGATATCATTTCTCTTCCCCAACAGCTAGACTGTAATTACTTAACACACTGCTTTCCCCCCTGCAGCAAGGCACTTACTACACACAGCCTCTGTATGCAGCACCACCCCACGTAATCCACCACACCACAGTGGTGCAGCCCAACGGAATGCCAGCCACCATGTACCCTGCTCCCATCCCGCCGCCGCGGGGCAACGGCGTCACCATGGGCATGGTGGCTGGGACCACTATGGCAATGTCAGCAGGTACGTGAGCTCGCAGCCCTTGCTTCTGCCTCATGAAGCTCTGCTTTCAGTTCAGGGTGGAACACAGCTGCATTGCAAAAATGTGATGCCAGAGATGTACTTGGCAGAATCATAAACTTGTGTGAGTTGGAATGGACTTGTGCAGGTCATCTAAGGATGGAGGGATCACATCCTATTTTCAGGTGTTAGTATTATGGGGCAGTAGTTTTTGTCATATCCGTATGGAATTTCACTTACTCCTGCATCCTTTGTTTCTCACTTCATCATTGTCAAGAGTGACTTCCTTTTCCCAATGCATTTCTCTGTGCCAGTTAAAAACAGTAGCCTCTTAGGACTGAGGAAAATGCAGTGTTCTCAACCCACCCCTTGTATCAGTGACCTTCCCTGGATGTTGAGATCCCACACTTTGTGTCTTTGCACTGCCTGCAGGTCCTCTGTGCCGTGGGCGATGGTTAGGGGTGTCTGCTTCCTACTGCCATGGTCTTCCAGTGGAAGTGCTTTGGAGAAAATGTTGTTTAAGCAGTAATCTGGTCTGATCTGAGGGTTTACTGAGGGGGTGTCATGCTTTGTTAATCCGTGGGTGTTAAGTCATGAAGAAACCTCCACATTCACTCAAAGAACACTCAGTTTAGCCTGAAAAACAAGAGCCATGAGTTTGTTTCAAGATTGTTTTTATCCTGTCAAATTTACAATTTAATTTAAGAAACCTCAAAACTGGAGGAGTTAGGTGTCAGAAACTGAGTTAACATTAGAGTTTCCCTCGTGGGCAAACTTATCCCAGGTGTTTGTTACTGGTTTTGCAAAGTGGTGCAGAGTTAAGACTGACCCTGCTCTCTGCACCTGTTGGTTTCTGAAGCCCTTTAGTCTGGAAAAACCTATCAGTAAATCAAACGAGCTAATTTATTCTGATTTATCAGTCAAGTTATCTCTACTGCCAAATATTCTTAAGGCACATGAAGCCTGCTGGGGGGAAAAGGTCTTGCAGTGAACAATGCTTATGTTGGAGGGATCCTGCTAGAGCTATTTCTGGGTAATGAGTATCTTTGTGTGCATTGGGCTAAACATCCTTTGGGCCAAAACGACCCCCTTGCATGAATGTGTGGAGGAAGGTTGGGGCTGGAGTGCCAAGGGATACTGGTCATTTTAAAGATGAGCAAGCTGTAATTGATTTTAAAATTAACTCTCATTTTTCTCTCTACTGGAGTTTGTGCTGACTGAAAACTGTTCTTTCTGTTCCAGGTACTTTGTTGACAACTCATTCCCCAACTCCAGTAGCCCCTCATCCAGTTACTATGCCCACGTATCGGGCTCCAGGAACACCAACTTATAGTTATGTGCCCCCACAGTGGTGATCATCCTGGCAGCCAGTGTAAGTTACCCAATCACATTGAAAGCAGTTAATCTTTCTTACAAATTACAGCATTACAGGTGCTTTTGGGGAGATTTTCCAGAAGGTAAGCAGTGTGAGGTGCTTCTACAATATTCTAGTTGAGTAAGAATACACAAAAATTATGGTTTATGTTGCAAGCTATTCCTTGCCAAGGAGGGAATCCTCATGGGGCTTCTTCAGTGGTCTGTGTTTTCACAAGTCATGAATCACTTTCATGGTTTGGGATTGTTGAATATGAAAGAATGAACCTCAAGTCTGTGTTTTGAAAATACATCTGGAATTCAATGTATTCAGTATTCTGGAACCATTGGTAATGGTTGAATTCAGCAGTACTGTGATTCCCGAGTCATACACAATGAGTGTGGCTCTCTAGTCTTATTTTTGATTAGCTAAATATGTAGGCAAGGTCAGTGTTTTGCATTGCTGAGGGTGAATCTTTTTCACAAGCTGCTGAAACAGATACACGACCTGGAGGTAATTTCATATATTCGATCTGTTTCAGGTCAATGTCAGTTAACACTTCTTGCATTCAGCATGAAAAAATCATTTGTAGTGTGGACCAAATTTAGATGATGGGTTTCAAGAGAAGGAGTATAATTTTGAAGTCCTCTTTAAAGTGGGATGCAGGTGTAATCTTTGTCCAGCTGACACAGAGCCTAATGTTTTTGTGATACCCACTTGTGTTTCTGGTTTGTTTGGTTACTTTTAGCATAAGTTGAAAACAGCTTCATTTGAAATAAGAGCTTGTCAGACCAACTGAACTGGATTTTTTTACTTTTACTCTGTTTAGTTTCTGTCAAAAGTGAATTTTGTTTTATCATCTGGATTTCTGTTTCAGCAGTTGCAAACACAGAGTCCTGTGATTACAGGTGACTATTCCATTTGAGTTGGTAATGCAGCAGCCATTTCTCATTTTGCTGTGATGCTGCATAGCAGTCTGAAATGTTTCACATGGAGTATTTCAGCCAAGAGTGTCTTATTATATAAGTATGAAAAGTGAGTTTTGCTGGGACTAAACCCATGACAGCTGATAGCTAAATGTAGCACAAAATATCTTCCTAATATTGCATCTTCTACTTAAGACAAAGCTTTAATGATGACAGAAAGATGGAATGGACATGCCAAGAGAAAAAGCCTTGTAGGGAGCTCTTAACCCAAAAGCCTGCACACATCAGTTGACTGGAAAAGTGCTGGGGTAGCATTGTATAACCCTTAACATTTCTTGTGTGTGTATCCATGTGGTGCATGCAGTGTTAGAATGTTCTGCCACACCCCAAGAGTATTTCACATAATCGAGAGTATTTCCCACTCTTTTCCACCCTTTTAACATAGGTTTGAAGATGGGAGATATGCAATCAAGAAATTGAGGTTTAAAAGTTGGTGCTGAAGCCCCTCATGCCTCCAACCAGGACTTTCCTTCTGAATGCTTTCAACACTTGGCTAAACACTACTAATTCCTGTTCACTGAAGATTTTCCAGTGCTGCATATCTTACATCTTGGAACTCCAGCAGTTAGTCTTAAAGCAAATCCTGTTTTGTGGACTGTCTTGCAATTTTTTAGCTAATTATAATGATAAAAAGGGAGTATAAATTTATTCTGATCCATATCTAGTTGAATGCATGTTAAAACACAAAAACAAAGCTTGCTCAATCTACCTGCAGTGACTGATGCAAAAACCATCATATGCAAATCCAAAGGAACCGAGAAGTATTTTACAACTTGTATCACTCATGCACTGTTGTAATGTATGCAGGGTCTGAAGAGGTAGAGTCATGGAAGTGAGTTTATTTCTAGAATACCATAACATACATTAGATAAGTGCTTCAGCCTTTTTCAGGTTGATGGAGTTGCCAGTTTAAAAGGGGCATACTTTTATTTAAGTCATGTGTTCTGTTCAAATTCACCTACTTAATTGGAGCGACTGGAAAATGAATCAAACGAGCTGTAGAAATCCCACACACAATTAGTTTACTTCATACCTTCTCATTTTCATTACATGGATTCAGTGTTATACAGATGTTCTTAAGGATCAGAATGAAATGACAAAGGTAATGCTGTGTGTGCCAGTACATAAGGCAAACTTACTTGAGGCAAAACTGGCTCTTAGGAATAGTAGGAGGTGATACCACCCACATAATGAATTGCATGTCCTGGGGAGATTTACATCCAGTACTACCTTTCATATGATGCAAGATGTGTCAAAGTGAGACTGCCACACAGACTGATAGAAAACACTTCAGTTTAGCTCTCAGTTGAGGAAATCCGTGCTGTTTTTCCTAAGGAATGTTGTAGTCAGTTGAAAATGTCTGTGCAGTTGATCCAGCTTGCTTTCCAGAAACTTAACAAGTGTGAGGGCTTTCTGCAACAAACAGAATTCAGCTGCATGTGACCCTGAGGAAAGCTTGTGTGCCTGATGGGTGTGTTAAAGGGGAACAAATCATTTTAACACAATTTCCTTGTTAGCTACTTGCAGTATGGGCTGTGGATCTGCTGTTGTAGGGCTGCCAGAATAGAGAGGTTGCAAATAGCAGGTTTTTTTCTGAAAGTATTTGTATTGAAGTAGGAGCCATTTGTTGGTTACAGCATTTTATTGTGTTTTCTTAGTGTTTTCTTTTTTTACTTCCTAACTTGCACTTGGAAGCACGTAAAACAAGACTTGACTGCAGATTAGCATTTCATTGCAATGAGTCATTTGTGATATTCTTTCTTGCAACTTCAGTTTTTAAAGTACCTCAAAGCAAATGCTGTGGGGATAAAGGGCTAGCCTTGAAACCCATTTGTATACCAAAATTGTCATGGGGAGATTTAAAATTTTTAAATTGAATATTGCACACTAAAATTGAGGGTTTCCTTAAACCTGCTTGACTTAAAATTCCAGAAAGATGTGATTTTCCTTCCTTTTTTTTTTTTTGGCTATGTTCTCCCTGCAAGAAATGATGCAGCAAATGGTTATAAAATGTTGTTCCCTTTTAAGCCTGTACACAGAGGTATATCAGGCTGTGTTGTTCTTGTAGGTTAACTTCCTTTCAGAATGACATTTTTTTTGAAGTTGTGTATCTAGTTGTTTTGTTTTGGGGTGTTCTGCTCCTATACAGGTTTGGCAGCTACTTTGGGGTAGCATCAGTCCTGGTGTAGTGCTGCCATCCCAGTACTCTGCCCTGGTGGGAGACTTGTGTACCCTGTTGGTGGTTAGAGCCTTCAGTAACTTTATTTTTACAGTAAGCACTCTTGTATTTTGTACCCTTTTTTTTAAAAATAAAGTTTAGGTTTATTTTGCATGATTCACTGTCAGTGGATGATCCCCTTATTTCTAATGCCTTGAACATTAACTGTGTTGTTGGAATAAGTACTTTAAACCTTACTCATGAGCACTTACTGCAGCTTACGGATTTCCATATGGTTTTTATACGGAGCAGAAAATTACCCAAGACAAACTTAGTTGAATCTGTACTGCTTTGTTCAAGTCTGTTTAACAATTCCATATGTGTAGTAGATTTGCAGCTTTGATTAGTCTGGTGTGGAGAGCACATTAATGCAGCCATGTGTCCCTTTTAGCTGGTAGAGAGTGACCCTTTGTCTGAGCGTGGGTTTAACCAGGAGCTGAGCTGTGGAACAGTGCTGTGTTGGGGAGGAGCTGTGAAGGCCAAGCTGAAAGCTTTGCTGTCTCCTGTCTCATCACCATAAACTAAAGCTTTGAAAAATCATAGGAGAGAACTTCTATGAATGCTGCAATAGAGAAATAGTTGAGGAATGAATATAACTTCTGTATATTTGCTCTTAACTTCAGATTCCTAAATGTCATCTTGGAATTGGTCTCCGTATAGTATTCCGTAACATTTAGGCAGTCTCACTTACTTGAGCACTTTTTTTTCTAAGTTGCATTATGGGATTCATCCAGGAGGAAGCAACTGTACCTTTTCCAGAGGTACCACACCTCCCAGTTGTGAGTGACCTGCTGGGAGTCTCCAGGAGTCGTTATGAGAAGTAACCAAAAGCACAGTGCAGGGGGACAGGGGAATATGTGTATATATAACTATCTTAATGGTATTTTGTTGCAAATAGTAGAAAGCATGGATATAAAACTGCAGCAGGGGAACTGTTCATCATTAAATAGGCGTTTACACAGCGAGGGTCTTACAAAACATTCTCTCCTGCTTTTTATATAACATTCCCTATTTAGAATTCCTTTATAAATGAATACACAGTATGTGTTTGCACTAGAGCTCCTCAGCAGGTGAAAAGAGCTAGTGCAGTAGAGACATTTCAGATCAAGCTTCTCTAAAAAATAAAAAAAAACCACAAAAAAAAAAACCAACACAAACTTTTATGGCAGCTTTATATGATTAAAAAAAGTACTACTATAAACCTGGAACTGAAAATAACTGTTGCAGCAATAACAAAGAGAAGTCCAAGAAATAATTTTTTTTTTAATTCAAATTTCAGGTGTTGAGTTTAGATAAAGTATTTTTTAAAAACTGAGGTATTCCCTATGTCAGTAACAGCCGATGAAAATGTCTTTTAAATGTAGCAGCAGCAAAAGAAAAATGGCTAATAATTGGCACCAAAACCATGTAGCCCTAGTCAGTGGAGTGGTGGTGAACTGAACGCTAGGAAGGAAAAGAGAACCTACTACTGCCTGTGGTTTACACTGTTTGACGTTTCCAGGAGACGTGCAG